ACTCCATTTTGAATTTGTTACCGAAAACAATCAATTCGGAACAGTATCGGAACTATTTCCTAAGGTGGTTTTTTTCAGTAATTAAAATCATCCTATTTAGCTATTCAGAAGAGATGGTCTAAATGAACTAGCCAATGAGCTAAAAATCTCGCTAGTAAAGTATTAAAAATTAAGAAAGTAGTGATTTTGAGCATCAAAACAAGCTTTTTTGATGAATTTCTGCAACAAATCACATATCATGATGTGACTTGACAAAAACAGAAACCTTAAAAATAAGTATATGTGTTCATTGAACTGTAGCTGATCAGGACACACCCCAAAACAACTCATATCCGTACCTGGCGAGTTTTTCGAGTTCAGGTCGGTCACATACCCGACCATCCCTATTATTCAGTTATGGCAGTTTCACCAACAATCAATACGAAACTAACGATTTTAAATTGGCTCACTACTTGACTAGCCTATTGGTCCCAAGTAAATTGATTAACGGACCCAATTCTAGTCAAAATTATAGTACTACAAAATGTTTGTTTTGATTCGCTATTCGTTACCTCTATGGTTTCACCAAACCGATGACGGTGGTTTCATTTTTAATTTAAAGTTCTAGTAACGCTATGACCATCAAAAAAGGAAGTTTCTGGTAGCCTTAGAGGCTATTCATAAACTACGTAGACAGTTTAGAGGGGGTTGGAAATTATCCACGGCCCATACAAAAAAAAATTATGAACTATTGTCTACGCAGGGGGAGGGGAGGGGGTCCAGAATCTTAAAAAAAAACTGTCGACGTAGTTAATGAACAGCCCCTTATTTGCTGTTTTATTTTGATTCTGCGTTCCGTTTCACATCATTCCATTTCGCTTTTCTCCATTACATCTGCTTAACGTTTCAATCTAAGGCTCTGAACCATTTGGCGATTTTTTTTAACTTTTAGTTAAAATTTGATAGATGGAAAGTTATCGATGAACCCTGCTATCCGAGCATGGTTATTTGTGACAAACAAGAAGTTAAGTTTTGACAACCGTGGGTCGAAAACCTCATGCTGTCGTCTCTCTCACGCAACACAAACGGAAGAACGGAAGAACAACATTCGAGCAAAAAGAAAATTATCAAACCACTATGGTGTGATTTTGTTCTAATTCCTCAATTTGGAGTAAATTATACCATTTCTGATCAAAAATGTTGTTCCTAAAGCTCGATTCAAAGTAAATCTGGACGCACGGTTTAGTACACCACCGCGCCCCTGGTGGTTGGAACAAAAAACGACAGGCATTTGTTGATGTTTCATTGACGAAGAAATTGGTGAAAAGTTTTACTCGATTGATCGACGCATCCCGAAATTACGGATCATGGAACTTGAGAAAAGAAAATCAATTGTGCACAAACATCTAGAGAACCCTTGGTGGTCTGTCTCAAAAATAGCAAAAGTGTTAAAACTCCCAAAGTCAACGGTGAGTCTTGTAATCAAACGTTACAAGGATACTCTGAGTGTGGATAGAGCACAGCGCATCTATCATAAAAGTGGCACTAGGGACCAAGAGCTGAGGGGAAAGGTGTTGAGGTAGGGTAGAGCGCTACTTCGTCGTAATCGCCCATTTCCGTTCTATCGATCAGAAAAGATCTATAATATCAATGATTTCACCACAGACAAACAGACGTAACTCTTTGAAAAACTTGTTCTTGAAAACATAGTATCTCAAAACATATAACCTCAGTAACGACATCTATCTGGCTTCTCGCGGAAAACAGGCTTGCTCGGTAACTCGTAAACAATATTGCATGAAATTTCTATAGAGTATATAGAAACGTCAAAGTGATCCGATGCCAGCGCTGCGGCGAGTAGTTCGCGGAACTGATAATATTCAAATCAACCGTTAAATGCATGAACGAAGATACACAATGAAGAGTTACGTCTGTTTGTCTGTGATTTCACCGTGCCTTAATCAATAATAGGTTTGTTCCGATGCGTTAGTTCATTAGCTACAACATAAATCCTGTTAGAGCGCATTGTATGAATATTTACGCTCATTGTTCTCAAAACAAAAGAAGCGCTCCTAGCGAATCCTCTTTTTCTACGTTTATCCGTAGGACGAAGAAAATCTAATAGCGTTTCAATGCGTTAGGACGGAATTGAAACTCGTAGAACGAATTTAGAATCAAGAAGCAGTGTTAGATTTTAGACAATATCTCAACAATTTGTGACTCTTTATCAAATCCAACGGTACGTATGGAAAGGTGAATAAATTTGCCATCATCTTTGACAGAAATATTCCATTTTTTGTTTAAACTCGTTCAGAAAAGAGAGGTAAAGCGCGGGTTGTGCTTAGTACGACGGAAATTAGATCAAAAACCCTACGTGAAAAGCAACCCAGGTGTCTCCATACGTGATTTGGCAAACAAATACGTTTACAACTTTTCCACCGTGCGTAACATACTTTCAAGAGAAGGATATAAGTCTTTTTGTGCCAGTAAACATCCGAATCGCTCCCTGAAACAAAATTTAGTGGTCAAAAAGCGAGCAAGATTACTATACGAACGAGTTTTGACGAAATTTGATGGCTGTATTTTAAAGGATAACGAAACATATGTCAAAATGGATTATAAACAAATCTCCGGACGAAAATTTTACCTGGCAACTGGTCGTGGGGATGTCCCTTCCATGTATAAATTTGTTTTTGCTGATAAGTTTGCTCGGAAACTAATGATTTGGCAAGGAATCTGCTGTTGTGGCCCTAAAACCAAGGTTTTCATCACGTCTCACACAATGACGTCGAAAGTTTACATTAAAGAGTGTCTGAAAAAGCGGATTTTACCCTTCATTCAGCAACACAAGACCAATGTTATGTTTTGGCCGGATCTAGCCAGCTGCCACTACTCTAAGGAGGTACTAGAATGGTATGCTGCAAACAATGTTAATTTCGTCGCCAAAGAGATTAATCCTCCGAATTGCCCTGAGTTCAGACCGAACGAAAAATATTGGACAATTGTCAAGCGAAAACTTCGAGTATGCGGTAAAGAAGTGACAAATGCACAACAAATATGCGTTTAAAGTGGAATAAGTTCGCCGGTACAGTGTCACCAGCGACTGTGCAGATCATGATGGCATCGATCACAAGTAAAGTGCGACAGTTCGTTCGAAACGGTGAAATGTAATAACTTGTTATATATCGTTTGAAAGCTGAATAAATACCCTTTTGTTTGACGTTTTGATCAACCGTCTATGTTATTTAATTCTTGAGTTATGATCACTTGAATGCTTGAATTTACTTTGAATCGGGCTTAAGGACATCATGGCTTGCTATTTTCAGAATTCACACAAGCACAACATCAGCAGCTCTTATTATGAGAAAAACTAAAATACATACATTCGTGACGGTCTTCGGCGACAGTGTCGTATGACAGAGCCTGTCATATGACATTTTAGCTTGGTACTGTAATTTGATAGCTTGTTTTGCAAGTGTCGGAAGCAAAGGCTGTCGATTATCACAGAAAATGCGTCGACTACGGTGACCGCTTACAAGACTGGTCACCAGTAGCGGCGGGTGGTGACGATCCAGTCTCACCAGAGGAGTGGGCGCCTCGCATAAGAAAGGAGTTATGTTCTGGGCGCTTACAAAGCAAAGATCCAAACTGCGGTTGTCCTGGTTAATAACATGATTGATTTGAGAAAGAGTGGCTGAGCTGCAATTGCCCAAATAGAGTGAAGCGTTGGAATCGATGACAGAGTGATCCATATCAGGATAGAGGAAGCCGTTGCGATTTTTTTTCTCCATGAAATCCCCGGGAGATTGAAGTCACCAAACACAATAGCTTCATCGGTTGCTTTAGCGGTATACCAGAACAGAGAAAACCGATTGGCAATGGGTTTGGATGATGTCACGTGCGCATATACGGTCGGGAGGAAAGAGAAACAAGGTACGATCGGCCAGTTTAATCGACGTCCACACCAGCTCTAAGCATATCCAAGCATTATTTTCTAGTAACCTTGCTTTAAACCTAGAATTTACAGCTACTAAAACACCTCCACCTTTAACGTTCCGGCTATTAGCTGCAGTCCTATCGCAACGGAAAACTTCGTATTCGTCGCCGAACAGCCGACGAGAGAGCGTGCGTGAATCCAAGCATGTCTCCGTGAGAACAATGATGTCGTAGCAAAGATCCTAGGTAGCTATGCGAAAATCGTCGAACGGTAGTGCGGTTCTAGAATTCGACCGGCTACGATGACCAGTGTGCGACGATAAAACTCATCCAGACGGGGACAAGACAAACAAAAACTAATAAAGAGAGACAACAGACAGGCCTTAAAAATATCGTCACGGAACTCACTCAAAGTCTCAAACAATGTTGTATAGTTCGATAGAATGTATAGAAATGTCGATGCCAGCGCTGTGGTGGGGGATTCGCGAAACTAATAATATTTAAATTGAAAGTTAAATGCGTGTCCGACGATGGAGGGGAAAGAGTTACGTTTGTTTGTCTTGGATTTCATTATCGTTTTAGAACTCAATTAGCTCAGTTTGCCAGCTTGTAGATACGGGTAACATAGAAAGATGAGCCAAGCGGTGTAAGCTTTGAGAACCATGAGACGGTTATTTTTGCTATTTATATTAGTAAAGAGAAAGTAAATAAAAGCAAATAATGCACACCACTGGTTTCAATAACTACTTTGTATTGTAGCGTTTTTATTTTTTTCAAAGTTATTTAAAAAAAAATACCATATTCCGTCTATTGTTTTGTTTTTTTTTTTTAATTTTTGACAGCTGAGATCCTAGACTTTACTTCTTGGTTAACATGAAAATTAAGTAAGTTCGGGAAAAAAGGGAGCTCGATTTGCGCACGCACAAAAACTATCTTGAATATGTTACATTTTATTTTGGAAGTAGGTATATTACCTATCTATGAAATCGAAAATAATAATGAAATCGAAATGCGGAATGTTACACATTGTCCACCGTTGCAAAAGAATCTGTTGGTTATAAATAATACTTTGCTTACTATTCTAGAAAATATATTTGCGCCAAACCAGATGGTCAACCTCAACGAGCTGGAATCGGAGGAGCGTGACATTGAATCGTTCAAGCGCTTCAACTACTATTTCGATCCACCGAAAAACAAGCCCAAAATTAATCTGAACGTAAAGGACATTGTGGTGACGAATAAGAAATCTCCGGGTGCTTCTGCGTCGGTTACTGGCGGCAACCACGTTGGTGGTTCTAATGGCAGCGGTGGAAGCAGCAGTAGTAGCAGTATCAGCAACGATAACAATCCCGGTGGCGTTAGTATCGGTGAAGATATCCAACCAATTCGGCCTCAAGCCCCGATTGGCACACCCTCGCAGAAGGGTCTTCATCAACAGCAAAGCACTCCGGCTTCGTCGGTTGGGACGGGTGTATCTACAATGCTCTACCCAGCTACATCGGACAGTCCGGCTTCGTCGGCATCGATCTTTGACGGAATCTCTTCATCGATGAGTAGCCACGCCCACTCGTGTGATGACCTGTACAACGATTTGCTCAGTTCGACGGGTAATCTTAGTTTGAATTTAAATCTGAATTTGACCCAACTGCAACAGTCCAACTCGGATCCGATCGCATACGACAGTGGTGCGTTCGGAGTGGGTACGGCCGGTAGAGCACCCAGCTTGGGCAGTGTTGTAAGTTCCTCAAACGGAACAGGAGCTGGGAAGCCTTCGGCGGCTGAACTTGCCCAAAGTATTATCAGCAATTGAATCGACATCGTGTAGTAGTGTAATGTGTGATTGGTGGAATATTCTCGCGATCGTTCCTAGAAATCCAAACTGAACAATAGACATTGTATTGCCAGTTGCAATTTGCCTTCAAACAGAAGTGCCATAGAAACCATAAAACCATTTTGCCAACACTCAGTTAATTAGGGAAGCACCGAGGAAATTAACGGATTTGTAGGGCGCTAGAAAGGGAACCTCTGCCAGCTCAAAACTACACGAAAATGCAAATTTGACTGCCACTTGGTGGAATTCCCACCTGCCCGGTGCCAGGGAAATATCATGTCAGATGAGTTGGCGAAACCTATCTTCTAGTATATTCTGATCGTAAATGCCGACTATCTGATAGGGTATTTTTGCTGGTAGCCCCGTAAAATTGTGAAGGCTTTTTTGTCTTCAAATGAAAATACAAACTTTAACACCTCTTCGAGAGGTTACTCGTCCGTAATGATGCTTTCACCCACGTGTTACTTGTTCAATACTCTCCCATACCGTATCACATTCTGCTGATCATGTTAGATCGAAAATGTTGCATGCCTATGCATAGATGAATCCGATTGTAAGAATAATGTGTCCTATGACTCATTTTATTTTAATTTTTGAACGATTGGTTTAGTAGATACCTACATATGCATCAACAACTACCACTGCTATCACAACAGAAAATAGTTACACCGAAAGGGTGAAGTGCGTTTCATCCAAAGCTGCGTCTTTAAGTTGTCCAAACGTACTAAAGTTGATGACGAATCATATACATAACTCGCCGCGTGTTGCAGAATATCCACAACACCAATACGTTTTGCTGTTCTGAAATCGAAGAAGTGTAAAAACTACCTTGCAGAAAACAGATCAAACAAATTTGAAGCGAAAAATGCTTTCAGACCTAAGAAACATTGAGAACAATGTTGCTCCAAGTGTTGCTCTAACTAAATATTGTAAATACCTTCATTCACAACCGAGGGAAAACAACAATGAAAATGAAAAGAAACAGTAATACCGAATAGCTGCCGTCGAGGGTCAAGTTTTTTTTTCTATGCAAAAATTGAGAAATTCCTTCGTATGAATTCGACATTTTACGACTAGTAACCCTCTGCTACTTACTCACTGGCGGGATAAAGGTTCAGAACCGGCGATTATCTTAATATACACCGGATATAGGGGTAAGAGGGGCATAGTGAGCATCCAGCAGTTTGGCCCTGAATCTCTAACAAATCTAACAAATCAACTGGTAGTAGGTTCAATATCATTTTAATATTGATCCTACCACCAATAAATTTGTTCCGAACGGCCGGAAGTCCAAGCTGGTGCACGGGATGCTCACTATGCCCCACCTGTTCACTATGCCCCTCTTACCCCTACTATACATCATTTAACCTCACTTTATTTGAATATTTATTTTGTCGTTTCCAGTTTGTAACCAAACAGAGACTTTCTTGTACAGCTGTGTGCAAAGATGAGCTACGGATAGCTCCCGTCTGTCTATCTAATGGCGTACTGCGAGAAGAGAAACCTTGGACTTGGGACCAGCAATTGGGCACAAACATAGCGTCCCGTAGGCCTTGTCTGGCGCATCAGCGATTGAAGCACATCTAGAAACTCGAACTTCACGAACAAGGTTTTCGATGGTAGCATGGAATCCACTCTTGCTACAATTTAATAGAAGGCAAAGGTTGATCCCAATCAGCGTTTCAACACCCAGAGGCATTACATAAAGAGTTTCGCTTTTGTAACGGTGGGATCGACACGTCCCAAGGGATCGAAGATTTGGGCCACTCTACGCCTGATGAGAACAGCAGTCGGAAGTGGCAATTGCACCTTCAAACGAAAGATGTCGGTGCCAAGTTCCCAAATTAGACTGAGAGTGCTGTCGGATTGTTGACCTTGCAAGTCGTGCCATCGATTTTCTGGTGGAATATCTTCCAGGACTTCAACGGAGTTTGAAGTCCACTTTTTCAGCGGGATTACGGCAGAACTAAGCATCCTGAAACTTCCCGTCGGATTCGGATCGATATCATAGGATCCTGCTAGTAAGTCGTCAACGCAAAAGTTCTTGGCCAATGGTTCCACAGTGTCAGGGAATAAGTGACCCGCAATTGATGTCCGACCTTAACACGTCATCCCCATGCATAAGATACCCCAAATTATAAGGTAGGCGAAACTGGACACACTTGATCCCTGGGGACACTTCCCAAGTTACCATCGCCGACTTATCGCAAAAGGGATTTTTCGGATAGTCTACTAAAAGTCATGTTATGCTGAGATTTGCTTATATGTATTTTTAGAGTTTTTTATGATTTCACTCCTACTTTTGTTCTAGCCAGCATTACAATTTTCAATAACTTTTAGGATATTTAACCAATCCGACACATTTTTCACAGGTCAAAGGTTTGAATCAGTAATGGAAAAATATCAAAAAATCAAATCTCACCAAAGCCCAAGATCACGCTTGGACAACGCGCGTAGACGAAAATCAACAAGCACACAACTGTGGTTGATATAGGGAAAATGTTGGCTTTGGCAATACCTTAACCTATTATCGTCAGGGGGTAAACAAAGTCCTAGAGCACAACTATTTGGCCAATAGTTGCTCTGAAACACAATGCATCCACAGGCCAGAATTGAGCTCTCAAGGACGTTGTTTACCCCCTGACGATAATAGGTTAAGGTATTGCCGAAGTCAACTTTTCCCCTATAACAAAACTCACCAGCTGCAAATATCTCCAAACTGTGGTGAGATTAAGTTTCATGATTTTTGCTTTAAGCTGGGTATGGACTAGGCAAGTCAAATGATCAACTCAGTTGAATTCAATTAGCTTGAAAAGTTGTGCCTTGTACCGGACATTGTCCCGTAGATGGGCAGCATCGCGCCCGAAACCGGCCGACAGAAAGGTAATTTTTAATCCGTTTTAAATGTTGTAAGAACGATAAGTGTTGTGTCTTGTCTCGCGTCGCGTGTTATGTGTGAGTTGTGCCTAGTTCAACTTTTTTCAATTCAAGTGAGTTGATCAAGTCAGTTGAATGACATGGTTTACAATTTCAATTCGCGTTCAAGTCAGTTGAATTCAACTGACTTGATCAATTGACTTGCCCTGTCTAAATCCAGCTTAACGTGAAAGTGGATCGGATTAGAATGACTCAACTCATCGATTTTTTACAAAATAATGAAGCGCTCAATCGAAAAAACTCTTCCGTGCAAAATTAAAGAACTAAAATTGCTGTCTCTAGCCATTTTTACAAGATTGATTTATTGTTTAAATTCTCTGAAAACCATTTTCTAAGTTCAATTTTAGGACCACAATCATAGTGGTTGTTAACTTTGCTTATCAATTACACAAGTATTTCGCATGAAAAATTATCCTCGATTTTCACAAGTTGCTTCACAATTATTTCATGATATTCTGTGAAAATTTCAGCCTTTTTGATGAAGGTATTCTGATATATCTTGGTATTTTTAAAGATAATTAGATAATTCCATGAACTTTGGCAGAACTTACCTGAACTTCGGCAGAACTTCTCTGAACTTCGGGAGGAGTTCCCTGAACTTTGACAGGCTTTCCCTGAACTACGGCAGGACTTTCCTGAGGTTCGGCAGGCCTTCCCTGAACTACGGCAGGCCTACCCTTAACTTCGGAATGAGTTCCCTGAACTTCATCAGGACTTCCCTGATTTCCAAGAATTGAAATGAAAGGACTTCCCTGAACTTCAGCAGTCCTTCCCTGAACTTCGGTAGAACTTCCCTGAACTTCGGAAGAACTTCTCTGAACTTCGGCAGGACTTCGCTGAACTTCTGCAGGAGATTTCTTTTATATGGCTTTCTCAATCTAGGGTAATCCAAACAGTCAGTTTTGCATTTCCCTGTTTGGATTACCCTAGACTGAGAAAGCCATATAAAAGAAATCTCCATACGTACCAGTCGAAAAATCTAATAAATCACTTCGGCAGGAGTTCCCTGAACTTCGGCAGGATTTCCCTGAACTTTGGCAGGACTTCCACGAAGTTCGGCAGGCCTTCCCTGTACATTGGTAGAACTTGCCTGAAGTACGGCAAAACTTCCCTGAACTTCGGCAGAACTTCCCTGAACTTCAGCAGGACTTTCTTGAACTTCAGCAAGACTTCCCTGAACTTCGGAAGGACTTTCCTGAACTTCGGCAGAACTGCTCTGAATTTCCGCAGAACTTCCTTGAACTTCAGCAGGACTTCCCTGAACTTCGGAAGGACTTTCGGCAAAACTTCCCTGAACTTCATCAGGACTTCGCTGAAGTTCGGCAGGCCGTCCCTACCGAACTATGGCAAGATCATTAGTAGGACTTTCCTGAACTTGGAATCTTTGAATTGAAGTTGTCATTTCAGTAGTAGAATTATTATAATTATACAAGAATATTGTCACAGACAAACAGACGTAACTCTTCATTGTGTATCTTCGTTCATGCATTTAACGGTTGATTTGAATATTATCAGTTTCGCGAACTACTCGCCGCAGCGCTGGCATCGAATCACTTTGACGTTTCTATATATTCTATAGAAATTTTATGCAATATTGTTTACGAGTTAGCGAGCAAGCTTGTTTTCCGCGAGAAGCCAGATAGATGTCGTTACTGAGGTTATATGTTTTGAGATACTATGTTTTCAAGAACAAGTTTTTCAAAGAGTTACGTCTGTTTGTCTGTGATATTGTGTTTATGAATACGGTCAAAATTTAATTACTTCTCATTTTCCTAATTTGCAATGCTTGTTGGTATTTGTGCATTTTGAATTTGGGTGTGATTCGAACGGGTGTGGATTCAGTATCAACGGAAAAGCATTAACTTTCACCTTAATGGCGAGCATTAGTCGCTTCGTGTCTGCCATCGGTTAAGATAGTAAAAATTATTATGTCTGCTCTTTCTAAGAAAACGAGGTGCAACGGAATCATTTTTGCGTCGATTATACCATAGAGGTAACTCTAAGACCACTGGGTCCCGAAGAAAATCATTATTATTTTTGGCTCACTCAGTACCAGAACAACGGTCCCAAGCAGTCCCAAGCTATTTCACTCACCCCTGCATGTTCTGCATGAATCCACACACCCCTGATGTTATCTGTCAAACTTTCATAGCGAATCAAAACAAACATAGTGTAGTAATAGAATTTCAACTAGAATAGGGTACGTTAATCGTTTGCTTGGGACCAATAGGCTACTAAAGTGGTGAGCCAATTTAAAATCGTTAGTTTCGTATTGATTGTTGATTATACTCTCAGCTTCAACTTTACACGTTACCAGCGTCTGTTCACAATTCTTACCGTCCGATCTCTATGTTATCATGCCAGAAGAAATTATTAGAAAAAATGATCCTATCAAGACTTGACCATTGGGTTGAATCAAACAACCTACTTTCAAATACGCAGTTTGGTTTCCGAAAGAGCAAAGGAACAAACGATTGTCTAGCGCTGCTTTCAGCTGATATTCAACTGACCTTTGCGCACAAGGAGCAATTGGGTTCTTTAATTTTGAAAAATACATCGGTTTTTATATATCACCTGAAAGAGCTTCGTTTTCTGAGCACAGCGATATTTTTTTTTGAACCCACACACTTTCATCTTGATTTTTAAATCAAGATTTAAAGCAAAATAATAACTTCACTGTTTGACACTAAACTGACAAACTGACAGCTCGCTCCCATACAAAGTGACACCGAGGGGCGCTTAGAAGGTGATTTTTGCGAATGTAATCGTTCTTATTTAAAATAGTTCCAGTGTACCAAAATTGATGAAATTTAGGGTTTGGGTTCCATTTTTAATGCAGATTACGAATATGCATTTACTTCAATACCCTTAAAGAACCCAATTGGCTTCAGTATTTTTGGATATTAAGGGCGCATTTGATTCTGTTTCCATAGACATAGACAACCGGTGGAAACTAACGATTTTAAATTGGCTCACTACTTGACTAGCCTATTGGTCCCAAGCAAATCGATTAACGTACCCCATTCTAGTCGATATTCTA